TAGTGTGCTTAACAAGCCTAATTTTACAACACAGAAATAACGGAGGTGAGATAACCTCACTGAATAAAGCAGGTATTGACAACGTTTAACTCTAACTCAAGTCACAATAACATTGTTTTGTGTCGGGTGATTCCCGCCTCTAATGGGAACCCATACAAACAAAACTTGACGACTTTAACTCTTTAAAGTTGTCAAGTTGTCAAGACATTCCTGTTTCAACATTTCCGTAAACCCAGTTTTTTAAGGCACTGACGCCAAAGGACACGTTGTCATAACATCTGACAATACATCAGTATCTGACGCTCTGGGCTGAAAGTATGTTGGAATCTTTATTCTGGGTTTTTGTAGGAAAACAATCAACATTATAAATATTTAGTTTATTGAGCAGCATTATGTTCTATTATCCTTTTTTTTTTCTATGACAGATCAAGCTGTTACCCTTGGATAACACTACAGTGTCTACCAAAGAATTCCTAATAGAAATGAAGTTAGATGCATAAATTAATATTTGTGAGATGATTACTATATCTGCATGCACAGCATCTGCCCTGAGTAAACTCATAGTGAGAGAAAACCCTGCAGAACCCTTCTTCAAAGCTGCACAAACACAGCCTTTTTAATCTATATTTTAGCATGCACAACACACAGAGGTGCTTAAATGTTGCTCCAATTAAAAGAAAAAAACACAGTGAAACGTGCATGCTTAGAATCCACACTGCTGTCTAACACAAAGTTGCTGCGCCTCTGATTTCAGAAGCTGCTTCAGAATTTCTCGCTCTTGTTGTCATTTTGGCCTGTAAATACATTTTCTGTCCTCCCTCTCCGTCTCTCTTTGCAGCAGATGGACGCAGGGGTCTGAACAGTTGGGAGTCAACGTTGGGTAATTGTTATTGCGGCGCTGCGAGCAGAAGGATGTGTGCCGGTGATGAAGTGTTATGATGGCGAGGACCGATACTTGTGGCCGGCGCGTATATGCGTTACGGCTGAGCAGAAGCTGCACTTCAGTGCCATCGCTCAGAAACACTCACTTCACTCGTTCTCGTCTCCTATTGCCTCTCTCGGGCTCTCTCTCTCTCTCACTGACATGCAGACACACTCTCTTGGCAGCTCTCGAAAACACTCACACCCTCAAGGACACACAAGCACACTCTCTCCGTCTTTGCATACGGCAAGCAGTCGAGGAGGTGTATATCCAGGCTTGGCCTCGGGGCAGCCGATGGATAGATGAGGTGCCTTTTTAAATTTAGATGCTAAAGAATGAGCTGAGAGGGAGAGAGGTGGTGGCAGTGTGGGCGGTGCGCGAGTAGATTAATTCTAAACAGCAGCGGGGCCATAGGCCGTCGTGAGGCTTTTGGCACCATCAGTGGCCTGATTTAAGCAGAGCCTCGCAGCACCGAAGTAGTGCCACTACTTTTCCACTTCTTAAAACCACCTGCTCCCTCTCTGCCCCCAACCACTCGCCATCAGCCACCTCTGCACCAGGAATGCGCCTCGGGATCCAGAGAGGAAGGGAAAAAAAGGGGGAAGAGCACTTTTATTCTCAGACTGTGATCTCAATAGAGACCTGGGAGTCGTAAACTGTGTCGGGCTAAACTCTTGCTCCTGCTTTCTACTCTCTGGGCAAATGTTACGAGGATTTGCCTGTGTGTGTGCGCGTGTGTGTGTGCGCGTGTGTTTTGGTTTCCCTCTCATCTCCCTGAGCGCCGACCTCCATTACTGCCGGCTGACCCTCCTTTTCCATCTCGCTCCCTTGCTCACTTGTCCCCCTCACACACACTTGCACAAACACGAGGTGATAGACTGGCAGAGCAGTGTGAAACTTGCGCCTGTGCTAGTGCGTGTGGGTGTCTGCGCGCGAGTGCTACAAAAGTGGAACAGATGCATTAAATGAATGTATTGTTAGGGCCTTTGCATTTCACACGTCAAATAATCGAGTCAAATCCACATATTTGCAAACACGAGCAATTCACTGTGCATCTCTCGCACGCAAGGCCACCCCACCTCCCCCTCCCTCACCCCATGGGGAGGCTTATTTTTTGTTGCACAGAGCGTGTTTGGTTATGTGTGTGTGTGTGTGGGGGACTTTCAGAGAGTGTTTGGAGCTGGCACTCCAGTGGCCAGTTTCTCAGTGGCGAAGCGTGAGCCTGCCTTTAGATTGCTGTTTAACAAGCCAGCAGACAGAGCATATTGGCTCTGGATAGACAGGGACGCCCACTGGGAGAGACACCGAGAAAGAGGAAGAGAGGGACCGATGAAAAGGAGGGAGGGAAAAGATGCACAGATTTAAAAAAGTGCCCAGAAATGGGGAAATGCAGGACGGAGCGCAGCTGTGTGTGCGACAGGAGAGAGAATAAAGTGGTTCGCACTGTGGTTGGTAGTCAGCTAGTTGTGAATAATGATTTTAGTGTTTGATTTTTGCATTAACATTCTTAGTATTGATCACTGTGTGCAGCCATCTGTCTCGCAGTTGTTAGCACTATGCTACGTGTAAGGATCACGGATGCTCTATGAGAACTGGATACCAGACTCCGGCATGATATCAGTCCAATTAGCGTTCATCCAGCGTGGACACCTTCCTCTGGTTTGTGTGTCCAAGTGCACATGTGAGTGGGAGTGTCGCTACTCTTTAAATAAACTTCCTCTGGCTTAACTGTACTAACCCACTGGGTTCAAGGTTATAAATGGCTGTTTTTTGACTACTTTCGATTTCACCTTTAGAAACAGTTTGCCTTGCCTTGTTAGGTATCATTCTTTTCAGCACAACCTCACATGTCTGACTTTGCAGTTATTTTTCATACTGTATTAACACATTAAATCGAACCCCGGCTATTAACACATGTTTGCGCTAAAATATGCACTGTGTTTTCAATAACATATATGTGGTATTAAAATACGCCAAATGTTTTCCTTTTAAGCACATTTTATATAAAACCGATTTACCAGTAGGTCGCCATTGTTATTTACTTCTCAATGCACTCTGGGTAGAGACGTCACATGGTTGCACCACATCGAGTTCACAGTTAGCAGCGCACTGGAAATGGCTTCTGTTCAACCTTTCCAGTTTGAACCAGAGCAAACCGAGAGAGATGATGAAAATAGTCAACCAGTACTTACTTTAGATGAAGATGAAAACAATCCGTCACACGAGGACGCGAGAGCGAGGGAAAACTACTGGTGTCTATGCGGCGACTGCTTGCCAATGGCAACGGCGACTGAGAGCATTTGGTGTAAAGAGCTTAATTTTATGGCAGCAGCTATCCATGGTATCGCATAACCGCATGATAAAAACATGAATAGAATTCTAATTTCTATTATACAGTGAAATTACGATATCGTTATTTTTACAGATTCTCCGTGCAACACAGTGCAGCAAAACTTTGAAGCCGTTGTGCCAAACTAGGTATCCCCGACAGAATTTGTTTCCCCTGCGTTGGGAGCATACACTGGCCTTTCGAAATAATAGACTAACAGTATCCCACGTTTGTGATTTTTAGTTCATAAACACTTCTTATAATGACTAATTTTGGAGATGTTAGCTCTTTATACAGTAAAGTTACAGTGGGATACAAATAATATCAAAATGTGCTTAAAAGGAAAATATTTGGTGTATTTTAATACCACATATGTGTTATTGAAAGCAAAGTGCATATTTTAGCGCAAACATGTGTTAATAGCCCGGGTTCCCTTTAACACAATGGAACTAAAATCACCAAAAAAAGCACAAAATTTGCAAAAAAAAAAGCAAAAAGTTAGATGTTTTTACTGTAACAACCACAAACATGTTAAACAAAGCATTTTCACAACTTGAAATGCAAACATAAACTGCACATTTTAAAAGATTATGTACAAATGCAGCAAAGAGCAAAGGTACAACTGTTTGCATTAAATGCAGCCGATGTCTCAGGTGTGTTTTCCCAATCAGGTGCCACAATAAGATGCCACACAAAGTATTTGTGCCACTTCAAGCACCAGACAGAGCGGCAAATTACTGCCCCGACACCTCCGGGGTGTATCACTCCTCCTTTTGTCCACCTGGAGACACTGGTGGCATCTTTGACTACACTACACGCTAACTACACACTCCAAACACGCAAAAGATCACAAATCTCTCTCAAATTCTAAAATCTGCTCTCAACATCACTCTCTCTCTTTCGCCGCCGTCCCTTCCCTCTCTTCCTTAGCAACCAAATGCCATGTGCCAGTGAGGCCTGTCGAGTCTGAGATGTAGCTGCTGGGTTTTTTGCAGTGTCTCTGAACACTGCACGATCTGACCTTGGACTGAATTAGCAGAGATGTCAACTCCTGGGAAGATCGGGGACTATCTTGAATGTTTTCTGCCTGTGAATAATCTTTCTCACTGCAGAGTGACGGACTTCAGATTGTTTGGAAATGACTTTATAACTCAAACTGACAAAAACGTCTGCTTTTATAGAGGTGCTCACACTTCCTGATGATCAGGTAATCAAGAGTATTTAATAATCTGCATCAAGCTGCTATCTACCCTCTTAATTCATGTGGAAGCGGTGAGAGTGGAATTAGTTTTTCACACTCTGATTCTGCATTTTTACTTATCTTTGCCTAAAATTAGTAACGCAGTGACTTATGGCATGACTGCTTGGTCTGAGCTTGTATTTACAAACTTTTTAAAACCTTAAAACTGAAAGACGGGATACTTTACTTGACTAATAATTACAACTGCGAGGCTTAATAACTTTTTTTTACATGCTACTGATAACCTTTTATCCACATTGTTTTGCTAACAATTCAATTTCATTATTTTTTATGCTGTTCTCCAACATCTGCATATCACATACAGCTATTTCATTTACGTTCTCATTATAATCTATTCAAATCTTTATTCTGGCTGAATTAA